ACTGGAAGCCCATGGGCCTCGAAGTACGACGGGAAAATATGCGGCTCTAATGAATTTTCCTGTCTTGAGATATTAAGACTCGGATCAGGTGAAATGTTCGAGTCTTAATATCTCAAGGCAGGAAAATTCATTAGAACCGCATATTTTCCCGTCGTACTACTATGACCATGGGCTTCCAGTATGACAAGTTTGAAGTCAAAATTCAAAATTCAGAGGTCGGATTTTGTTCGAAATCCAAGCTGTGTAGACAAAAGCTGAGTAAAGCTTCAATGTCTTAGCAACAAAGCACCACGGGGACGAATCAACTTAGGGTATTTCACTACTCACTGAGGTCTACAAGATACAAGTAGTACGAGTTCAAAAGCGATTTATAACCTAAAGAGGTTCCCTCGTTAGAGCTGACAATGAACAATTTAGGGCTCTTCTTATAAATTCTATAACTTTGCAAAGAAAGGTCGTGTAGAGCTGGGGAATGTTTCATTTTAATCAGAAATTTGCGCGCTACAATCCTGAATTATTAAGAAAGGGTTGGGTTATTTTTTGGGGTTTCTGAAAAACTGGTTTTCCAGAAGACTGGATCTTCGAAGAGCTACGGGGAAGCCCCATGGTCATATTCGGAATCAGCATGGTCGATAACTTATAACCCACTAGATGTCGATCAAAAAGCAATTTATTACATCGGGAGGTTCCCTCTTAAGTATGTTCAAGCACAGGCTGAAGGACTTCTTAGAGCTTTAATACTTTATCTTTCTCTCGTCCTTTTTTGTTTGTTTTCTTTGTCGAAATTAGAAGGGTCACAGTCTAATAAGAGTAGTATGCGCTTTTTCGGTCCACTGCAACACCGTCTTTTGATTTTAGTTTATTGTATTGGTACTTTTTTTTGGTCAAATAAATGTCTAAGTCTAAAGAACGCGCCACTATCTAAAAAAGTAGAAAGTGAAATTTTTTTACCTCTTGCTGCGAAAAAGGCGGGTTCAACTATTAAATTTGGACATGCCCAATCAGGATTAGAGATACATATTCCATCAACAGTATTCAGTAAATGGTATGACATAGATTGCTTAATAATAACAGCAAGAATTGCTATACCGAGTTGTGTGGTAAATGTGGCTAATGGTGATATTTTCATATAATGACAGAATTTAAAATTAAATAATAGAATTAATGCTTGCTGAAGTGTACCAGAAGAAAATATTGAAAATGTGATATTATCAAGTGGATACGCATGAAATAACATACCACCAATAATGTTAACAATAACGGAATTTTGCAATATCAAACTGGTTCGTGCAAACACAATTCCAACGGGCAATAAACAAATAAATGATATACATAGAGCTAAAATAAGATAATACCAAGGCATAAAGTTGCCTCTGTGACAGGTGACTACAGCTACAACGAATGTACAAATAAACAATATTGTATACCACCAATCTGGAAAGTGTGCATACTTTGACATTAATCTGCAGTGAACATCATTTGGTCTTTGACGTAATGACATTTTAAAGTGTTTTCGAATATCGTTACCGTGGTAAAGTAATGTATGTATGAATAGTGCTGCATATGACGCAAACAGCAGATACGTGCCAACTATATTTGTTACACTGGACAAACCAGATAAATCAGATGCGTCAATGAGTGTAATTTGATCGCTCATCGAGTTCAAAGTAAAAAATTCCGAATCAAAAATTGGAAATATTTTAAATTTAAACACATTAGAGTAGTAAAGACTTGGCATAATAATCCATGCGAATAAAACAAAACCTGTAAAAATGTTTATCTGCGCCCATCGTGGTACTACAATAGGAGATAACCATGGGCTTGTTAGTGTCCACCAGTCAAACTGCAATGCACCAAAACTAAATCCACTATAGCCGGTTAGCTGTGAAAGTAATATATTTTCTGGATTAATCATGCACATCCAGGAAAACGCCGTTAATATAGGCATGATGTATCCCGGTAACCAGTAATAAATCATTTGAAAAACGGTGATTAGTATAAAAAATCGAAAACGCGATAGTTTAAACCATTTTTCAGTCAAGTCTGATTCTTTTTCATGCAATGTCCGAAGAAGAACAATGTAGGGCAAATTGGCTGGAAAAAACATTTCGGAGGGCCAGATTAAAAAACGTTGCATCATCCCTACAAAAAATATACATGATCAAAATCCATGTGAATTATTAAAAACTAATCACACTAACAAATGTTTTTCTGATATTTAAAGAGATGGACTATAACGTGTGAAAGTACTTTCGTCACATAAAAAAAAGAATTTTCGTACTTGACTAAAGTGTACGGTATTTTTGGAGGAGTACCATCCCACACTTTGGTCACAAGAGTAGTGAACTTTCGTAACCAACTTTGTAACATACTACAACTTTCGTCACAACCCAAAAAGAACTACTGTACTGCTGCAGTGTGGACTACTCTAGACTG